TTGGAATCAAGATGTGGACACCACTGTGTGGACCACAAACGTGGCTGAAGTTTACTTTTCGCATTCCCGACGTTCTCCTATTATTTACATATCGTTATCAACTTCAACTTCCTGATCATGCTTTACTTTCTCATTTTCAATCTCAATTTCTTATACCTAACTTTTCAATTCCTCAATGCTTTTGTTCATTTTTAATTATCGACTTATGGCTTTTCCTCTCGTTAGAGGAAGGAAATGAAAAAAGACTGCTTAAGCCTATTTTGATTGTGCTCACATTTGCCATACCGCAAAACGAGCGCTATTTTTTTAGGCTCTCAAAAAATTTTTATGTTGTACACTATAATATCATACAGTGAATCCAACAAAGACCTCTCTTTTGAACGGATCTTGTTCGATATTTTATTACAGAGGACTAAACTGAGATGGGGTTAGTAAAGAAACTTTCAATTCGCGTAACCAGAACCATCGACTTCATCAGAGCAGTTTTGATCTGAGTCGCTGACCCACAGCTAATTTTTCACACTATGAGACTATTCCACGTAGCAGCAAGTCGGATCTGGTGGAGATAGGTAGCACGACTCGAATGATTAATCTTACTTGACTGTGCCCTTACACGCAGGACGGATATTGGTTAATTACCACCATCAAAAATAGATCGCAAAAAAAATTACAGTGGATGGCTGGAATTGACCAATATGGGACATGTATACAAGAGTTGTGTCGGAAGAAACAATTTTTTCTAGCGGTGCATCCTCCCTCCACATATTTGATTTTAACCAAGAACGAGTACCTTATTGCGACAACGACAATCTGTGAACCATCGATTCAAATCAACGCGACTTTAATGTAAACAAATACGCCAAAACGTAAATAAAAATAAAGTGAATAAAAGTCGAATAAAAGTTTTCATATTGAGCCCGTGCCATCTCAGCCATACAGACAAGTACCAATTATCCTTGCCAAGGTTTTATGATAGTCGGCTGTTGAGATCTTATGTTGATCGTTTTGCTCTGAGGATACGGTGCGCCTCTCCAGATGGGTGGCCGACGCCAAGGAGTAACTTCGATTCAGAAAGTGTTGCGAGCTGCAGATGGATTTGAAAAAGTATACGGTTTGCTTTTTGTTGATAAATCGAATCAGTTCTCTCCTATGTACGCAACCGTGTTCCCAGACGAATTTGTTAGAAGACTTTCATGTAAATAAATTGTTTACCAAAAATGGATATAAGTATGACAGTATCGGATACAGTTCGACAGTGGCGTGCTGTGCATATAATACCATAATGGCCTATCAATCCAGACTGGCCAAGCCAGTCTTGCTTTCCAAGAACACAAATTGATTTCAATCTCATCTCATCAAAAATGAAAGCGCTAATTTGGTACGTCGGTGGGCCATTATCATGAGTTGTTGCAGTGGGGAACTAAGGATTAACTTACCTCGCGATGTTGTGTAGAATCGAATACATGACGCCTTGGGGATTTGTTCAACGTCGAACTTTGCGTTCTGTTCTTAAGGTATACGAAAAAATTAGAATCAAGAAGGTGGGAGGTATAGAAATGTTAAAGAAAAATTAGAGTTCCTCGTAGTAGCTAACTCCACCTCTGTTTCTGGGAAGCCTAAATTTATGCTCACTCTCAGACAAAGCTTCGTGAGCCACGAGTGGCTCATTGAGTTTCTCGTTAAAGACAATGCTGCCGATACATTATTAGCGTGCGCAATACACTTGGGAAACTCTCATGAGACAGGAAAACTCTACTACGTTGACAATCCATTATAGGTCATAAATATTTTAGAAGAATCACTTAGTTATTTTAGAAAATTTGGTAAAAGTACTGCAGAAAGAGAGTACTCAGAATAGAGAACAATGCAATGAAAACACGTGTACAAAAGAAATACTACAGTTTCGCATACTTGATTGCCAGTTAAATAAAATAATTGAGACCAAAAGCTTCAAAATCTGACAACTATTCACAATTGACCTTATTTGACGAGTAAATTGCTCGGATTCCGCTTCACAAAACATACTGAGATGATCTTAAGCAAAACTCGCAAGCTTAGGAAGCTTGGTACTCGCGATTAGTCGGTGCTCACATGGGGTTCATCACTCAATTCAGAGCCACTTCTTTGCCAATATTATCAGTCATGTTTCAACTCTATAAGTGCAATCAGCAATAACCTTAATGGTGTGATATGAGAAAAGCAAAATTGCTCAGTTGCTATCAATCATCATCAAGTCACTCTAATCGACCTACAGTAGATTTTCTGAATTATTCAGCGGTCAAAGACCTTTACATGACTAATGAATGAGAGATGTACACGCAACGCTCGAAAGCACTTCGACAAATTTTTAGTGATTCGTCCTCGGATATGAGTCGCTTACGTTAATCAAATCAAACTGATAGGATACATGTTCAACGTGATATTGCTTTGCTTTAGTTACCATAATGATCTTCCTTTCTACAAGAAAGAGCAATTCAAAATGCTAAATACTTACTTGGATAATTGGATGGTATGTCTTCATGACTTGCGAGGACCCCAGCACATTCTCCATTTGTTTTTTTCGTCTCACAATCGTCGTCCGTGACGGGGTTTAAATTGAGCATGGCAGTTCGTGTGAGTCTTACTTGTATCGTGGCCTGTAAAGCATCGGCACCTACGAGTACGATTGGTTTATTCTTCTTGTGAACACGTTCCCTAGCGTGTAAGTGTCCTCGAGGACGGGTGTGTTTTTGTAGAATCCACTCTAAAATTCTTTTCGTTCATCTATTTCTTAGTGTATGACAGGCCTATTAGGTGATCAACCAAATGGTGGATACCTTGGGAAAAGGGTAAACCACTCTACATTCCTTAAAAAAGTGAACTTTGCTGGGAAAATTGGAGTCAAGCGAAACACTTCAGTAGACATCCATGAGAGAAGGATATATGGGAGAAGATTTTTGAGTAAAAGTTAATATAATTACACGAGAATTTGCAATAACACGCAAAAACCACTTGGAGCATTTTAAATAAAATCCTAATACAAAAGTGAACAGCAAAGAATGTCTTATAATTACGCATGACCTCGCGACTCACCTCAGGCCAATCTTTCTCACCTGAGTTGGACATTGTTAAGCCACAGAAGCCTATGCGGCTCTTTCAAAGCCCTTCACTGAGTACGCAAAACGAAACATCTTTATTTTTCTATATTGTGTATTTTCTCAAGTTTTTTTTTCTAAAATTATGAAGCGTTCGACTGTGTAGATCGCGTGCCAGTCTGACATTTACAAGCTCTGAAGAGAGCGAAAACGCAGAAACATTAGCCAATATTGTATTGTATAAATCTTCTCCTCAGCGACCACTTCTCCGCTCGTCCAAAAACCGTAAGATATTCATTAACAAGAAAATCTTTTACCAATCAATTTTTTGCGTAAAGAGTTGTTTTGCTATGGAAAAAGTTCAAGAACGAATTTTCTAGAACGTCAGAAAGGTCACATGGAAACTCAGATTATGTGTCGAAATGTGAGAAGCGGAAAAATAACAACTTTCTGTCATCTATTATGGACTAACTTGGAGAATTATTTATGATGCTCATGATATTCTAATATGAATGGAAGAAAAACTGAGAAGTCCACTACAACCATAAACACACTCAAGAAGATTGCAAGGAAAATCACGTGAAAGAGCATAAGGACGACGAAAATGAACGGATGAAATAACTAGTCTTGAGTGGAACAAAGTGAAGGAGTCTTTATAGACTTTGAATAATTCTAAACTTCGAACAATGTGTACGTATTTATTTGTATGGCCAGATAACTGAATGAAAGAATGAGCAGAGCAAAAAATATTATTTTAGTGGCTGTGAAAAGAAGCGAGACTCAATCAAAGTCATCTTCTAACCCGATTAAATCATTCCCAATTGTGTTTTGGGAGTCGATTGTCACTTTTTTTTAGAAAAGTAATAAAGGCGTCGGATAAAGTGTCAACTTTGAGTGGACTACTTCTAGTGAATAAACCTAAACTCTAATGATAAGTCGTTCACAAACTCTAGCCGAGCCTGAAATTCGCACTCAAAGTGAAGCGTAATTTCATTCTCATTGTTACGGCGCACTAAGGACACGACCCCTTCGAAACCTAATTACAGTATTGAAACCGCCGAGAATGGAGTTATCATAGGATTCAAAAGTTCGATTTTCTATAAACCTCGGCATAATTAATTGTTATATGAAAATCGAAAAAACTTTCTTGATTAGCTGACGCGAGGTTGTAAATTAGCCGCAGAAGTTCGGCTGACGTTTCGGCGACCCGCCTTTTTCAGAGCCTGGGCGTATGTAAAATTAGTCTATTTGAATGATTCGGATGGTCTTACTTATATGCTGCCTACGTCAAGTTAGAGGGGGCTTACTGTTTCTCAGTGAATCTGATTTCTTGAATGTCGACAATGTTTGCTTGTTTCCTGAAGTCCTTCAGAAGTTCGAAACATTATAGAACTCCAGAATAGATTGTAAGGATGCCTAAGACTGCAAGGAGAACAGGGTGAACTAGCATTAAAGCACTCATAAAGAAGACAAAATTCCCAAGCAGCATCGAAACAACACGCAAAATTTCGTAGACCAATCCAAATGGGCCTTTGAGACGGCGAATGCGAGGAAGCGAATCAAATGCGAGAGGTGGTGGGTCTAACACTATGTGATCAGGTCATATAAAATAGAATGAATAAATAAAAGAAACTTGCCTTTTTGCATTATTCGCATATAGAAGTTTTATGATCGGTCCTTTGAAGAGACCAAGAGGTCTTAGTTTGAAATAATCGAAATAGATAGGACAATTTGTTGTTCGGGAATTCTTTCTCGTGGCGTTATTGTTGATGTTGAAGTCATTTATTCACGAATGTTGGGCGACATGCAAAATTTCGATATAACAATTTTGCATATTTATCAGTATATTATGTCCAAAAAATGGTCATAACATCATAGAAGTGCCACTAGACTGATTCGTAGTAGCGTAAAGTGATGACAAAACTAGTGTCGATAGTGCAGTTGGTTAGCGCGCGCCCCCGACAAGGGCGGGATGTTGGTTCAATTCTGCTTGACGTCAGTTCTTCCCATAAGTTAGTATCACTATGTATATTTGTAACATCATACAACCGCTGAAAGAGGGTAGATTAGAGAAAAAGTTTTTGTTGACGATACATATGTACTCATATATATATATATAGATATATATATATACGTATATATATACATACATATACATATGTATATATATATTGCGCATGTGGCGCAGTGGTTAGAGGTGTTCTGCGTCGCACACAACGTCGATGTGCAATCTCGCGCTCATGTCTGACCAAGCCATCCATCCCTCCGCGGTCGGTAAATTGGTGCCAGACTTGTCTGAGAGGACAAGCAACACTAACTCGGTACAACGGAAGGCCACCACGAGTCATCGAAGAGGCCAAATGTGCATTCAACGCTCAAACGAAGTCGAAAATTGAAGACGAATGCATGGCGCATCCCCAGGGATTGATCAACGCAGAGGGTTTTACATATATATATATCCAATAGCTGTTAGCCTAGCTGGGTCGAGTGCTGATATGTGCCTAGTAAGTCAAACACGCTAACAGTTGGCTAATAATAGCTCCATATTCTGCATCGCAGAACAGGAGCCCGCTAGTGCAGTATCACAAGATTCCCAAAAAAACAGCAAGTTTAATTCCCGCCTGAGGTCTAACATTTTACATATCGCTCAAATTTATTAGATATACTTCACTTCCGAAATTTTCAACAGAGTGACAACCGTAGATATAAACGAGATATGGGGAATACCTCTGCGTCACCTTGAACGAGATCGGCCACGGGCTTGAAATATGAGCTTCAAAGCAACGAATTGGAAATAATATGCATAAAATAGCTTAAAGAAGCAGGATCTCATAGTGGTGGAACTAGGAAGCCGTTGATATGTAGAAAAAGACTTGTAGATTGCAATAGTTTGAACTGCATATCGTAAGCCTGCTCCCAACAATCTCGGTTTGAATTTAAAAAATCTACTCAAACATCTAGCTTGCACAAGACTTAAAAAAATTTTATTGCTACAATGGTGCTCGATATAAAGAAGATTGATTGAGTTAACGATGAAAATGGGCATTATATTCTCACCTTAAAATTGCACTAAGATCATGTTGTCGCTAAAATATTACGATTAGGGATATCGCAGGGACTTCAACTAGAAAAAACCGACAAACTTAAAGGTATCGAGATGAAGGAAGAACTACATAGATGGATTCAAATGGCTATAGGACAATGTGGATGGATCCAAGAGGTATGATCGAGCCGTGAACAGCGGTCCTGACATTCTATCCATGAACAATGGGGCATCTCGTAGACTTCATCAGTGGAGGCGGTGCTGTCGTCTTTTGAGCTCTCGAAAGTCGCCACACCCACCGAAGCGGTCACCGAAAGGGTCATTGCATCCAAACATATTGAGCAGAAAGTGCGTCAAGATCTAACAAAACGTCTTGAAATTTGTATTGGTCGATTTCAATATCAAAGTTCTAACTTCTGGAATGCTGCTCACCTCTTCAGAGGGTCATACTGTGGTCCCGTAATGGTGAAGAACATTTTTAACGAATCAGGAAATATTATATTTTCCAGTGTTTAGGAGGAATTATCACACCAGTTTATTCGGCTGTGAATAATAACAGCTATAAATAACAATAATTTCAATCATAGCGATGTTGAAGAACAAGTGGTTGCGCAAATGTACCTCGGTAGTGTAGTGGTAACACGAGTCCCTGGTCTGGAGGGAACGCGGATTCGACTCCCGTCTGAGGTTGTATTTTTGCTCACCACTCAATTCTTCTAGGTGTATTGGAATGATAACAGCCTTATTTGGGCAGTGTTTATTATGAACATTCGTAATCACGCTTACCTGGTTTGAACTTTATTAATGGCCTTTAGAAAATGTCTGAGCTGTTGCATAGGAAATAAATGCTTGGTATTTTGATTTTTCGTAGATCGTTTCCATTTTGAGGTCGCACATCAACCGTGCTATGAGGGTTACGGAAATTTCAAGGATCCTAGGTGATCACTCTTCAGAACAGACGAAGGTTCCATGCTCTTATCAGCAAATTCCCTTTGGGACAACAAAAGTTCCTAGCATGATGCATGAAAGTGCAAAGCTGATCACTACCTTAAGAATGCGCTATGGAGTCGACAACATCATGTTTCGTAAAAGTGGTCATTGGATATCTGGCATACACAATAACTCGCAGTGGTTGTATTCGACAGTCTTGCTGCCCTCTTAGACAAATCTGGTACTAATTTGTCCACTTCGGGAAAATGGAAGGCTTTGTGAGTTCTGAGCATGATATCGGACAATCTCGGTGTCGCGAGGCATTGTGACCACTGCGCCACACGCGCCTATTATCTCGTTATAGTTCTAGAGATAGCTTTTTACAAATGTTGAATGAAAATATCGATTGTCTTGTTCATCGTTGCGGTTTTGTAAGCAAATGAATCTTCACTGTAATCGTGAGACATCTAAATCACCTACCACATAAAAGACGTTAAACCACTGAGAATTTGTAGACTACAAACTCAGGCGGTAAGTGAAGAATCAAAGACCTGACAAGCATGAACTATGAAATAAAGTTATTTTCTATTTAACCGCATCTAGCGGTGGTAAGATTTTACAGAAATGTTAGTGATGTAGTGTGATGTGCAAAACTTTCGCCTCAGGCGGGACTCGAATCCACATCTCACTCTATCCGGGAGCGCGTGCTCATCCCATTGCACTACTGACGCCCTTTTGCACACCACTCTTTCTACTCTACAGCGCATTTAGCATAGAATGATATCTGAGAATGTAATGTGGAATAAATTAGTAAAATTAAGTCGCATTCTCTGAGCAGTTAATTAGGTGTATTCCCACAAAATACTGTCTCAATTCCAACTTTATCTAAAAATTCATCATAAATTATGCAAAAAGCGTGGCAAGATAGGGAATTTTTGTATTTCGTTTATTTCTATAGCAAAGAGTTCCACTTATAATATGATTCGCTTACAACGTTCAATCAAAACTTGTCAGCTAGAAATCAAAAGTGCAATTCAGTGTTAATAGTTTACAAAATGGTGAAACAAAGCGAAAAATTAAAAATCTTCAGAGGATCTGAATAAGGCGAAAGTTGTAGAGTGGCAATCACTATTGTATATCTTCCTGTTCACCACCTCATATCTGCTTGACAAAGGAACAGAGAAAGCCCAAATTGCTTCCAGAGATTGAGAACACAACTACTTATGTTTGATTCCAAGAGATTTCCCTAATTCAACCATAGTTTGCACGTAAAAGACACGTACTGACTTCATGGACTTTGACATTTTTCTGCTCAACTGTACAGGATCTATGCTTTGGAAGGAGTAGTTCAAACTTTTATGGAAATGAATATGCACTTTTGACATGTTTATAGAGAGTTCCAATTTCGTCACATTCTTTCCGCTTTGTTCGTGCTCAGCATCGTCGTCACTACGATTTCACAACTACAAACGGCACTAATTTATACTATACATTCTCTAGCTTATTATTAAAAGTGCAAAAAAGTCATTCAAATTCATTTTATTTAAGAAACAAAGTTTTATTCATGTAAACTTTCCACTGTTATCGAGCTTTCTCACAAACTGAGAGGACCGCCTTAGTGTTTTGCGTAACTCTAAACTCCCTCGACGCAATTCGCTGTTTTCTCGACATTTTACAAGGATGTGGTCGAGTTTATGAACGTTTTCAACAGCAGTTTGACGATCTGTCAACTTTTCTCTTCCTTTTGTCTGATTCACAAGGACAGCTGCTCGGAGTTCTTCATGTTTTCCTCACGCAGTTGTGAGTCACAAAAATGTAGTGTTTTTGTTTAGTAACTAAGGATCTATGGTATTGCCGTGATTCCCTTCGTCGTAATAACGATTCTTATAAGTATTCGTAGGACTACGGCACGCCGAATCAAGATCCTCATCTGATGGACAAAACTAAGACTGGTAATTTTTGAAAATGAATAGAATTTGATACAAAAATTTGATACAAAGCTCCGTGACTCTGCTCTCAGGATGGTTATGTTTAATCTAATGTGTGATCAGCATGGTCCTTGAGGCTCTAAATTAGTGAAGCAATGAAAGTAAAAAAAAATAATAAGAAACAAAATGGCAAAATAACACAAAGATATTTTCGTGACGAATTTATCACTTATATCACCTCTCATTGTATTGTTCATCGAACGATTACGCGAGTGGCTGTTAGTGATGCGTACATTCGTCATTGTCACATGCAGCTGTTGTTTCCCCATAGGCTTTATTATTCTTTATAACTTCGCGGATCCTCTAGGTCAATCAAAGGTGGAAAAGCTCGTCACCTTTCATGTGAATAAATTCTAAAGCTTACCTTGGCTGCATTCATCAGGCAAGTGAACTTTTTCAGAATTCATCCTCAGACATATTTTACTTTTTAGTAGCTCAATTGCATAGCTCACGCATAAACTACCCACTTACGTAGATGAAATGTGAATGGATTCACTCCACTCAGACATGCTCATCAGCAATACACACTGTGTCGGTCGTCTCTTCAGTCTTGCGATCTAGGCTGACTAGTAGGGCCTACCACTTCGGGCTAGACAACATTTTAGCAGACTACTCGCAGACATTGGAACACTGACTTGATATATCTGTCAGCAAATCATTACGTAAGCTAAATATGCATTAAATTACCATTACGAGGCTTAACAGAGATGATACCTGACGGACAGCTATCAGATCATCGGCGAAGGCTTTCTTCAAACTTTCACAAAACCTGTGAGTCTTGGGAAAGGCTCACCTCTCTACAAGCCTTTGTGGATGTTCTGAATTGTAACAACTACTAATCGTCGACTGAGAAGCTGCGTTTGTTTGTGTACCTGCACTCTCAAATTATTCATTTCGACAGACGCCGTAATCAAGAATTCAAAATGTAGTTATTGTTACCCCGACACCAACTGACGTCAAGAAGTCTAAATATTCATGAATGCGTAGAAGGAAATGAGTGCAAAATGGGCCTCAGTAGTGCAACGGGTTAGAGCACGCCCTCCCGGATAAAGTGAGATGTGGCTTCGAGTCTGCCCTGACACGAATGTTTTGCATATCACCTCTAAATCAAAGGGAAAATTGGGTGGCAGATATCCAGGCTATAGGAAATCGTAAATGCGCTGTCAGAAATGCTTGGTAAGTAATGTGAGACGGTGATACCCACGAATTCGTTATTACAGTCAACCGGTACCTGCATCACCTCGTTAAACAGTAGCTGACAATATCCAAATTGTGGACATGTAAAGAGTCCCAATTTATCGGCAACGAGCAACTATGGACCACAGAACAGAAAATTAACTCTATTGACGCTCCGTTGCTTTGATGCAGTACGTCACGAGAGACAATAACAACCGCGCGGTGTTTTCGGCTATTCTAGTTTTCGATGCCGAAACCCTTATATTTCAAAATCAGTCCAACCATTCGGAACTCTTCTAGCTCTCATATGATTCCATTTGAAGGATTTCGTTAACTAATGTAAAAGGGCAATGATGATCCATGTGAAAAAGCTGTTTAGCAACAAGTTCGAAATGAATCTAGTCCTAAACGAGAAAATGGCTACAGTCTCATCGTGGAGAAAACTGAACTATGAACTTTTTTGTGAGTTTGAAATTATACATAGGCTTGCTTCCATCTTCACAAAATCCTTTTTCTCAGTTTTCTCACAACCCGAAACCGCATATAGTGCGAATTTTAGCATTTTATGCGTATGACTCACTTCATTCTATGTTTCACTAATGAAGCCCTTCGACTTTTTACATGCGATTTCTGCGCTTGCGTCATGACCTTCAAAGTTTTTTTTCAAAAAACCTATTAACTGCTGCTTGATTCGATCTTCTGGATATCCTAGGATAACGACCGTGCTAGGTCTTCGCAGTTCCTGATCGCGGAAAGTCGTCAGCTTTTGTACATTGGAGGAGCGGCATACGTCTTGATAGGCCTGGCACCGATTTCCTGATCCTGGGTATAAGGGGCGGTCCAATGTTGGGTAGAAACAGATCTGTGAACGTGCTGAATGCGTCACTATTTTTTTGCTAACTGAATTTTTTGCAATTATGGTCCTGGGAGGAAAACACGCTGTTACGGTATTTATTTAGATTGCTTTCAGCTAAAACATTAAAAAGCAGGTTTCAACACTGTGTTATGGTGGTACCTATCTGAAAAGCACAAATATGTACAGATAAAATCACTGTAGTGAAGACATGACGGTGTTATTATAGTTTGCAGATGAGCGCGTGACTGATTCATGATGGGGAATATGAAATCCATTAAGTAACTTAATAGTGCATCGAGAAGCCTTGAAGTCATTTAGTGAAAAACATTCCCTATCTCTTCATCCCTCTTTCTAATCAATACTAAATAAAGCCAGAATTTTTCACTAAATATAGAAACAGTTGTAAGCTGACGTGCAAAATACAAAAAGTGGTACCGTCAGTTTCCAGCACTCCGCTATCACCTTGTGCTGTACGGATCCCACTACTTCTAGCACTCGATACATTTCTTTGCATGCGTCCTCTATAAAGATATTCGAAATTACGCATGTTGTTCGACTGCTCCTTGAATATTTCGTCCTCATGGACTACCAGTCAAGCAAAGCTCTATGCAATATTGGAGCAACTTAAGCGAAAACGTTGTGTCAGTCGCATTCTACTTGGTTGCCAGAGAGTAAAGAGTTGGGGAAGGAGGTGAACTTGGAGCCTGCTTTTCCAGCCACCCGGCCATCCCTCCCCCTTT